TGGCTGAATAAACCCTCACTCCAGAATTCTGGTGTTGTATGGCAATTATTTCTATCACAGATCATTTTATTTAACACTTGTGTTTTCACCTGACTTCAACCATTATTGAACTCGTATTTCCTTACACGAGGTTGCCTTAAATTCAGACAACAATTTTTTCAACAGTCATATTGATCCATTTAATAAAATCACTATTGCCGGAGCGTGCATGTCTGTTTTTCTTAGCAATTTTTTGAAACCTAACACACTCGCTATTCCGTCTCCTGTGAATTACGTTAGACAATGTAAAACATTTTCAAACGTGTCTGTGCAATGGTTAGAGTGACTGGCGTTTTCCAAAAAAATGATTATTCAGCACGCTTTAAACAGAGGTGAAAAACAGTTTGGGCAGTTTTTTGTAGACGGTTATGCAGAATTTCAGGGTGTGAAATACGCCTTTGAATTTCTGGGCTGTTTTTTTCACGGATGTCCAAACTGCTTTTCGCCTCTTGAAAAATGTCCTCTAAGACACGTTCCATTGCAGAGCTGTACAATACCAGCATTGAAAAATTACAGGCATTGAAATCAGTCCACGGTCTCCAGGTTCAGGTAATTTGGGAGCACGAGTGGACTCAAATGAAACAAACAAACCCCGAATTGAAACGTTTCCTCCAGAAATTTCAGGCTCCTGCTCCCCTCTCACCACGGGATGCTCTTTTCGGAGGAAGAACGTGCGCTGTTAAATTAAAGTACACGGCTGAACCAGATGAGAATATTATCTTTCAAGATTTCTGTTCTCTGTATCTGTTTGTGAACGCCACCTGCTCATACCCCCTCGGTCACCCCAATGTAATTTACAAAGATTTTGACGAACCTCAAAATTACTTTGGCTTCATTCGAGCGATCGTTGCACCACCACGTGGATTGATTTTTTCCAATCCTACCCTCAAAAACATCTAGAGGTAAACTTGTGTTCACTCTCTGCAGTTCTTGTGCAGAAATCAATAACCAAACAGATTCTTGCACCCACAGCGACGAACAGCGTGCTTTGACAGGTGTCTGGGTCACGGGAGAATTTAACGAGGCTCTAAAATACGGTTACCGTGTACTAAAAATCACAGAAGTCTGTCACTTTGACGAACGCAGTGATACCATTTTCAATGATTACATAAAAACATTTCTCAAAACCAAACAAGAAAGTTCTGGTTTTCCCAAAGACGCAAACGATTTAGAAAGCAGAGAAAAATACACTCACCAGCCACTTTATTAGGTACACCACNGGTTTTGAATGGTTTAACATATCGATCTGCTGTGATTTAATGTCATACAATAAGATATTTATTTAGAGTACTCAAATTAGGCTGTTTTAAGCGCGTTTCCCGAATAAATCCTTCAGGTGAGCTTTTTTAGAAGCCATGCTGTGATAGGTGGGGATAAATCCTTCAGGTGAGCTTTTTTAGAAGCCACGCTGTAATAGGTGGGAATAAATCCTTCAGGTGAGCTTTTTTAGAAGCCACGCTGTGATAGGTGGGAATAAAATCCTTCAGGTGAGCTTTTTTAGAAGCCACGCTGTGATAGGTGGGAATAAATCCTTCAGGTGAGTTTTTTTTAAAAGCCACGCTGTTATAGGTGGGGATAAATCCTTCAGGTGAGCTTTTTTAAAAGCCACGCTGTTATAGGTGGGGAAAAAATCCTGCAGGTGGGCTTTTTAAAAGCCACGCTGTTATAGGTGGGGGAAAACCTTCAGGTGGACTTTTCTGTCAAAGCCACGCTGTAGAAGGTTTGAGGACTAATTAATTTATTGGTGGGTCATTGTGTGAGCAAATTAGGCATCACACAAGGAAAAATCCAGTAATTAGGGTAGTCCTATGGTGACCTGGTGGGAACGATGCATGGTAGAAAATAAATATTAGTTAAATCCATTGCAAAGGTGGATTACATATATGCATGCATCTTAGGAAAAATCCAGAAACCAAACTATGTTTTTCTTCTTTTGTCCTGTCTGTGGGACAGTATGTGATATGGGCATGTAATCAGCAGGTGTTTATTTACATATTTGTGTCTTTTATTGATGTTAGAGTGAAAGCACTCTTCAGTAAAGAAATTAAAGTGACTACTAGTTAAACTGTGAGATGTGTGATTGTGTGTGCATATTTTGAGGTTGTTTTTGATTAGTTTGGGATAGACAGGCTGGAAATTGGTTAACAGTAGAAGTGTTGAGGTGAACTACTAATAGTTATCTGTCAGGAGTACCAGTAGGGTCAGTGAAAAAACTGGTGGTGACATATATACGTTAATAAAATGTCTGATAAAGTTATAGAGGAACTTAATTACTATCAAGAAGGATCCTTAGGTGTGATTTTGTATCGTACTTTTCAGATTTATCTTGAAGAGGTGGAGTCTAGAAATGTGACTGTGGAAAAGGACGTGTTTATTGAGATGTATAGGTTGTTATTGTGTGAAGGTTACATTTCAAAGTTAGATCAAGACGCACCTACAGAATCTGAGGTGAATAATATAGTTTGTAAACTAGAGCAAACGTGGAAGCAGTCGATTACAAAAAATGGAACAATCTTGCAGAATGAAAAAGAAAGGGTTTACAGATACTGGAGGCGTATGTGTAGAATATTGAAAGATGTTCTGACCTCGAGCAGGGAGAGTAAAAACAAGACCTTCATGTCTGACAACTTTTACACAGACACTAAGACTACACAGTGTGACGAACCTAATGACAATAACTATCATAA